ACTATAGTAGTATACCTGGATTAACTGACCCTTGTCATCCATTTTAAGTAAAGCAACTGTATCAGCTTCAGCAATTGTTGCTCCATAAACTCCCACTGCGCTTTGTTACAGAATGGCCTTTCCAGTTACCAAGAAATGGCACAATCTTGTCTATGCTCTCCTGTAACCCAACAAAGGAATCCGGTATAGCATTGTACACATACAAACATGTCTATTTTACTCTCAGTACAAACAATAGAAATTAGCAAAGTATCGATAATTGGTTAACTTGGTCAAAAAAACCTACCACATCACTGTCAAGTGAAGGTGGAAAAAGGTCCCCGCTATCTCTGTCCTCAAGGAAATAAGAAACATATCCAATTGCCTCTTGGATCCATGATATAAATGCTCTTGCCCGCCTGTCTTTCTCTTGTGAATATAGGCAATTTTCACATACAATAGCAGGCCGACGAGAGGGAAGCTTAAGATTTCTGCACAATTAAGAAAAATAAAGTTAAGAACAGTACAGTACCGGATTGTGGAAGCACTTCTTAGTACCTTAAAGAATTCTTAGAATTAGAGATATTAAGCTAGGCCATGACCATCCACTACAGTACAGATAGGTTTTGTTTCAAATACACATAATACAGGCTAACATAAAACAAGAGCCAAGCTAGCATTCATTCTTCTTATGAATCATGTCAAAATTGAGTTGCAGATTTTTGGCCATACACAAATTGAGATTCCAAGGATTTTGCAGTTTTTCATATTTGAGGGGCACAAAGTCTGGTTCAATTGCAACTGAAAATATAATCGTTTTGGCTTCAAATGAGCTGTACCACACACATAACAATTTCCATATCCATGATGTTAACATCTGGCAAAGAAACACTCAACATTATCATAATTGGGTTCTTTATGAGAAAATCTCATCACGTCTCTCAATATGTTTCCATTTAGTCTCACTCAGATATACTATGGTAGCTTTCAAATTGATGGAAAAACAATGCTTTTGAGCGAAAGAGGACTTACTTGGGTGATTCTTCTCCATGTCATCTTCCCCCACCACGCCTTGCCTTAAGACAGTTTCTAGCATGCCAGCAGTCTGATATCTCAATGAAAAAGCCCTCTCATTCGAAAAAAGCCAATCTGCAGACTAGTAGTAATGCACATTCAAGAAAAACAACAAATTCATAAAAGCAATAATAAGCTAACTTCAACAAGGAAACATGGAAGATAAACTCCGAATTCTCAAAGTGTCCAAAAGAACTCACCTGTTGATATTTGTCCACAGTGAACATATTGGTTTCTTTGACTTTGTATTCAGCCCATTCTGGTTCCTCTCGTATCCTGAATCGTTTGCTTGATGAAGGTTGTTTTATTACAGCCTACAAAGTACAATCAAATTAAGCCAAAAACATAAAGCAAAAAAAAAAATTCACTACTAAGAGAATCTCCACATAGTTTAATACGGAAAATCTTCAACTTTTTTGCTTTTTTTTTTTTTAACAACACTGCAAAATTTAGATTTCCCTCACATAATCAACTTTTTTGTAAACCAAAACCTTAACGAACGGCAAGGTTATGATTTTTCTTTCAATCTATTTAACTCGAAGACAAAATCAAATTCAAAATTTATGTTGAACCATCAATATATTCACCCACATGCACAAGAATTGCACATTTCAAGAAACAAAGTCCATCTTACTTATCTAAATGTTATAATCCAAATTCTAGAAATACTATCTATGTAATCTCTCATGTATCAAACCATCAATGTCAAACTCATTTTCATTTACTAAAAATGCCCAAAATAAAAATCTTGAATAAAAATAAAAAAATTTACGTTTGAATGAGACTGATGAGTTCATCTTCTCCATAAGTATTGACAGAAAGCTTTGTACGAATTTTTTGCATCAAATTTCCAGTACCATCAAATTGCTGCAAAATTAAATAAAAACAACAATCATTTAATTAAGCCAGAGTAAAGTTAAACTAGAACTTAATTATTAACCAATTTACTAAAGACTCACGTGGAAGAACCGGACCAGTTGCCAACTTTGAGGTCGAAGAAACGTTTAAGGTTGTCGATGCTCATGGAAGCTTCCCCCGTTCGGGTTGTTGAGTTGTCCCGGGTGGCCTGGGGGTCCGAAATGTGGAAATGGGTCGGGGAAACGGGTTTGCGTTTGGTGGCTGGTTACGAGGGAATGAAAGTGAGGAAGAAATGGAAATGGACGCCATGGAGGAGGTTTGAGCTCCGTGAGTGTGGAGTTTTACTTGGTTTTTAAATAGCTTATCTCAAATATGATGATATTTTATGAAAAAAATTCAAGTCCCGAGTTTAAACTTATCATACTTACCCCTAGACACCAAAATCTCTTTTCTTTACCCATATTGTTTCTGATAATCAGTACAACACCCTTAGGTTTGAACAGAATCATACTTGGATGAACTTAATTTGATAGAGAGGGTATTACCTTAGAGTAATACTACACTTACAAAGAAATTTTATAAAGATTTTTATACAAAGTGATGTGATAAAAAATGAATGAAAGAATGAATTTATAAGTTTGACTTTTTGTTTCACTCTTCTATTCATTTTTGCCACTCCACTTGTATGAAAATCTTTGTAAGTTAGTATTATTGATTACGTTAACAATGAGTTTGAGCAATCACAGTTTGACCACTCAGCTACTATCAAATGGATAATAGTAATTCGACATAATAATGAAAATTTCTCAAATAATGTAATAGTTTATCTGTCTACAAAAACCAAACATCAATTTTACACGTATAAACTAAAATTGTCCATCATCGAAAGTTTCAATTTCCACAGCAACATTGCCAATGGCTCTATTACATAAAGGAACCCCATGTCAAGGCCATGACAAGTACTGGCGCAAGTAATAGAGTGATTCGGTGGTTAGACTTCTTTGTCGGTGAGCGATTTTTGGCCGGAGCAGGTGCGATGATCAACGCAGGATTTTGGACCATTATAGCAAGTTTCATGCCACCCCAACAAAAACCTCTACCACTGAGGAAGTAGTAAGGTCTTGGCTCTAGGAGTTGATACACATCTCTCCCACCTTTTGTAATGTTCTTGATGAAGTCTTGCTCATTGCAACTCTCATAGCTTGTCTTGTTCACCTCAAGAACATTGTACATGTTCTTGTTAAAGTTGAAAACTTTATTTAACAATGGCATTCAAAAAACAGAAAAAAATGAACAAGTTAGTGTCACAATTTATAGAAAACTAATTCAAAAAAGTTATATACATGGGAATAAAACTCATTTGTGAAAACCCTTTCTAAATAGGTTATAATTTCACCTCTTTTTTTTTTTTTTTTTAATAACTGAGGTATCCGGACACAATTACTAACCGAACCCGCCTAATCCTCAAAGGCCATGGATATAATTTCATTCTTACACTGCTCATAAAACTTAATTACTAGGTTAATTGTCAGAATTCTCTACTAAAACTATAAGTAAAGGAAAAAACCATTTTTACAATGAATCAATACATCATCATTAAAATTAATAACAAGAAACAATCTCATCGCTGAAAAACAATATCTAAATCGTTTATATTTCATTCATACCGTACTCATAAAATTCGATTATTAGCTCGATAGTCAGAATTTGTCGGATACCATATCACATAGATCAAGAAACAAACAAGCAAATTAAGAAGCAAGAAATGAGAAAGAGATTAGAGAGATTACTGAGCCAATCTCCAACGAAGAATTGTTGATGGCTTGACCATTCAGTGAAATTGACATTCTGAGACCAACCCATCTTGTCTCCTACGCGATGAAGAGTATTACTACTCCCCACAACACATTTCACCATAACCACCATTACCAAAACCATGACAGTTCTGAGAATTGAGAGTCTCAACTTTATATTTTTGCAAAAACCCCCCTCCATGGATTCACTCTCACTCTCACTCTCTTGAAGTTTGATACAATTTATATGAATTATTGAAGGATTTAGGTTGAATTTGCGTGAAATTAATTGTTAGTTGATTGAATTAGTATATAATTTGTTACATATTCGGTTATTAAAGTTGTTCATGAGTTGGCATATTTGACACGCGTCATGATTTTGTAATAAACGCCTTAGTTTTGCACCTTTTTAACCTTGTTTTATATTTAATTAAATTATTTTTTATTTATTTTAAATCTATTTTTCGATTTCTTAAATCTGATTTATGGTTGATGGTATCCAAGAGAAAGGACAACCTAAAATTTCAACTCATGCCCCTCGAAAGTTTTATACTAACAATTTCTGTTCGGGTTTTAAAGGATAAGCATATGCCAATGGAACTTTGAATTTCTATGATTTCATTTCTATTTAAGTTTAAACAAATTCCTGTCCTCCCAACTCAATAAATAATGGAAGGTAAATAATACATCATTTGGGCTTTCTCCAACATTGCATGAGCCGAAATATGATCTCTCATTCAACCGAGAAATTAGGTACAATGAAGTGCAAGAACTCACAATTTAATCTCAGAAAATAAGTTGATGAAACAGCCAAGCCTTCTACATCATAGGTTCGAACCAGTCTTTGTCTCTTACCAGGGTTTCAACCCAACCAAACTCCAAATGGAATGCTTCCACTCTTCAACACTCTTTGCAATATGCAAGGGCATCCCAAGTACATGCCTCCAGGCAAAACAGTATATTGGTATCCTCCATCAAATGTAACCAGGTTGTCCGACATGGTTCCCGCCAGTGCACATTAGTCGTAATTGTTTTTCCATCAGATGTTGAAGAAATATCCTGATATTTGTGGTGCAGAAGAGTAAGAAGGGGTCATTTTGGCCTCGAAACATTTGTGCATTAAAACAAGTATATTTTTGGAATATAGGTGTACATCAGACAGTAACGCAAATATTTTATTGCAAATTTAATACCTTCAGTCCCATTCCAGTTTATAGAATCTTCAAAACCCTCCAATTTCAATAAATTCAAGAAAAAAAAGTGGTTTACCTGGATTAACTGACCCTTGTCTCCATTTTAAAAAGCAACTGTATCAGCTTCAGCAATTGTTGCTCCATAAACTCCACTGCGCTTTGTTACAGAATGGCCTTTCCAGTTACCAAGAAATGCACAATCTTGTCTATGCTCTCCTGTAACCACAAAGGAATCCGTTATAGCATTGTACACATACAACACTGTCATTTTACTCTCAGTACAAACAATGGAAATTAAGCAAAGTATCAATAATTGGTTAACTTGGTCGAAAAAACTACCACATCACTGTCAAGTGAAGGTGGAAAAGGTCCCCGCTATCTCTTGTCCTCAAGGAAGATAAGAAACATATCCAAATGTGCCTCTTGGATCCATGATATAATGCTCTTGCCGCCTGTCTTTCTCTTGTGAATATAGGCAATTTTCACATACAATAGCAGCCGACGAGAGGGAAGCTTAAGATTCTGCACAATTAAGAAAAATAAAGTTAAGAACAGTACTACGGATTGTGGAAGCACTTCTTACTAACTTAAGAATTCTTAGAATTAGAGATATTAAGCTAGGCCATGACCATCCACTACAGTACAAGATAGGTTTGTTTCAAATACACATAATACAGGCTACATAAAACAAGAGCCAGCTAGCAATTCATTCTTCTTATGAATCATGTCAAAATTGAGTTGCAGATTTTTGGCCATCCAAAATTGAGATTCCAAAGGGATTTTGCAGTTTTTTCCATATTGAGGGGCACAAAGTCTGGTTCAATTGCAACTGAAAATATAATGGTTTTGGTTTCAAATGAGCTGTACCACACACTAACAATTTCCATATCCATGATGATGTAACATCTGGCAAAGAAACACTCAACATTATCATAATTGGGTTCTTTATGAAAATTCTCATCACCGTCTCTCATAATGTTTCCAGTTAGTCTCACTCAGATATACTAATGGTAGCTTTCAAATTGATGGAAATACAATGCCTTTTGAGCAAGAGGGACTTACTTGGGTGATTCTTCTCCAGTGTCATCTCCCCCAACACGCCTTGCCTAAGACAGTTTCTAGCATGCCGCAGTCTGATATCTCATAAAAAGCCCTCTCATTGGGAAAAAAGCCAATCTGCAGACTAGTATTAATGCACATTCAAGAGAAAACAACAAATTCAAAAAGCTAGATATTAACTTCAAACAAGGAAACGTGAAGATAAACTCCGAATTCTCAAAGTGCCAAAGAACTCACCTGTTATATTTGTCCACAGTGAACATATTGGTTTCTTTGACTTTGTTCAGCCCATCCTGGTTCCTCTTCGTATCCAAATCGTTGTGCTTGATGAAGGTTGTTTTATGTACCACCTACAAAGTACAATCAAATTAGCCAAAAAGCATAAAAGCAAAAAAATTCACTACTAAAGAGAATCTCCACATAGTTTAATACGGAAATCTTCAACTTTTTGCTTTTTTTTTAACAACACTGCAAAAATTTAGATTTCCCATCACATAATCAACTTTTTTGTAAAACCAAAAACCTTAACGAACGGCAAGGTTATGATTTTTTCTTTCAATCTATTTAACTCAGAAACAAAATTCAAATTCAAAATTTATGTTGAACCATCAATTATTCACCCACATGCACAAGAATTGCACATTTCAAGAACCAAAGTCCATTTTACTTTCTAAATGTTTATAATCTCTCCATTGTATCAAAACCATCAATGTCAAACTCATTTTCATTTACTAAAAATGCCCAAAATAAAAATCTTGAATAAAAATAAAAAAAACTTACGTTTGAATGAGACTATGATTTCATCTTCTCCATAAGTATTGACAGAAAGCTTTGTACGAATTTTTTGCATCAATTTCCAGTACCATCAATTGCTGCAAAATTAAATAAAAACAACAATCATTTATTAAGCCAGAGTCAAAGTTAAACTAGACTTAATTAATAACCAATTTACTAAAGACTCACGTGGAAAGAACCGGACCAGTTGCCAACGTTGGGTCGAAGAAACGTTTAGTTGTCGATGCTCATGGAAGCTTCCCCCGTTCGGGTTGTTGAGTTGTCCCGGGTGGCCTTGGGGTCCGAATGTGGAAATGGGTCGGGGAAACGGGTTGCGTTTGGTGGGCTGGTTACGAAGGGTGAAAGTGGGAAGAAATGGAAATGGACGCCATTGAGGAGGTTTGAGCTCCGTGAGTGTGGAGTTTTACTTGGTTTTTAAATAGCTTATCTCAAATATGATGATATTTTGATGAAAAAATTTCAAGTCCCGCAGTTTCATAAACTTATCATACTTACCCCTGCAGGCACCTAAAATCTCTCTTTTTTACCCATATGGTTTCTGATACATCAAGTACACCCCTTAGGTTGATAAATCAACATGGATAACTTAAATTGATAAGAAGGGTATTACGTTAACCGATTAGGTCGAGCAAATCACAGGTTTGACCGCTCAGCTTCTATCAAATGGATAATAGTAATTCAACATAGGTGGCAGTGTGATTGTCGGCTTCCTCTTCCTCGAATCTTCTTCTTTCCCAGTCGCCATTTTGGAAAAAAATCCAAGCTTGAAGGTTGGAATTGGAGATTCCTTTTTTGTGAAAGTGGTTTGGAGAAGTTAAAGGGAGCTTTGGGTTTGGGTATGGGTATGGGTATGGTTTAGTTTATTTTAATTTTTTATCTGTGGGTTGTTGAAGGTAGTTTCAGCTCATGCTCATCTTGAAACTCTCTCAGTGGAAAGCAATAAGTCCATGGAGCAATAACTGAGAGGGACTTGCTTAATGTTTATTTATTTTATAATAAATTTTAAGAACAAATATTTAAGAAATAAATAAATAAAATTAATAATTGATTTCTTATACGGCTCTTAGTTTCAATCCAAGTTGTTCAAGTATCTACTAAGTTTTTATGATAATTTAAAATAATCAAAATCAATTTAAAAATAAAAAAAAAATTTTATTATTTTGATAATTTGTGTACTGATTAATCTCTACATAAAATGATTATTATACAAAAAATCTTACTTGAGGCTGGTAGTTCTAGAATACTAATAGGAGGTAGCTACTGGAGCTTTTATTTAACCGATAATTATAAGATTCTGATAGATTAATTGAGGAGTCACTCGAGCTCTTAACTGACCGATAGTTCCAGAGTCTGAGAGATTAGTTGAGAGGTCATTGAAGCTCTTACCCAGTCGGCAGTTTCAAGATCTCAGAGAATTAATTGAGCTGCGTGTAAGTTGACTCAGACACCCTGATTAAAAAAAGAAAAAAAAATCTAATAATAAATCTTCTATCACCATCTTTAAAGTTTGGATGGACTGTTTTCAAATTATTTGATAGGTTTAAAGTTCCGTCTTAATAGAATAACATAAAAGTTAGAGAAATCAATTTATTTTTAAATTTTAATTTCAACTTACAAAGAGGGAAACAAACAAATATATTTAGAAAAAAGATAAAAAAATGTTCCTACCAAACAAAAATGTGGAGTTGACAAAAGGAGCCAAATGGAGACCTCAAAATTTTCTTTAATTTCTTAACCGCTTTTGCTTGCCCTTCAAGACCGGCAATTAGTGTTGATAAGGACCGCAGCCACCCCCCCTCTATCCCCAAAAGTGCTTTTCATGCTTTTAGCTTCTCTAATTTTTCTTTTTCTTTTTCTTTTTTTTTTTATTTTTAATTCATGATTTTACTATTTTAATAGGATTTGAGAGGTTATGACTAAGAACAGAGTTCTTGGAGTACAAGTTGGAGGCAAGACCAAGATGAACAAAGAATTAAATGGTGACAGAAAGTGTTTCAATTCATGGAACCCCACTATTCAAAACGTTTCTATTCTATCTACCATCTACCCATGTCCCTTCAACATTTATTCAGTACCTAATTTTTACCCTAGAACCCCATTTCACGTTTAAAGGTGCGGCAACATATATGTTACGCCGTTACGCGCATCTTCATTGGGTAGTTGTACGTGCATCGGTCGTACAGAAGAATTGTTCTTGATTTTGATGAATCAAGTCGATCTCCAATTTTACGTAATATCATCAATCAATCATACTAAAGAAAGTTTCTATTTCTGTATTTCCATGAAATTGATGAAGATATTGTAACAAGAAGAAAGAAGTGTTTATAAATTGATGGTTACCTAAAAGATTTGTGGTGTTGGTTGAGGGAACAAATTGTTGCTGCATCTAGTATCAATAAACGTGGTTTCAACCAAGTTGTATGGTGTTGTCGTCAACATGAAAGCTGCAGGCCAACTGGCCAACTTCACCAACTGGAGATTTTTTTTTTAATTTTTTCTTCAGCAAGTTGAGACACTCTTTTGTATTGTCAAATGTCAATGACAACCTTATTGCTACTTGGATCTTTGGCATCATTCAGAGATGCCAACCTTACTGCTTGCCCTTATATCAAACTTGTTTAAATGCATTTGGCTAAACTGAGTCACTCACCAAAACCCCTTAAAACCTACTCTCGCTAACCCCATCAATCGAGTGATTAGGGTTACACAGCCGCTTATTCTGAGTCAAATTTTGATTAATCTCAACCATTAAAATCCAATCTTCCACCACCAAAAGGTTCACTAACCTCTCCTCTTCAAAAGTCCCATCAGCCTAAACTGAGTTTGCTCTTTGTTTGCCATCAAAATCTAAATTTAGATAATAAAATGATATTTTAAAAGCCCGTGGGTACAAAATGTCATTCAAACATTATTTGGATGAAAAAGTCGTTTAACTCTTTGTTACTAGGCCAAAAAAAGCCATAGCTGTTGACAAAGGCACTACCATTTTCCTACTTCAAGGTAACGTGGCCTCCTGTCCTCCTTCACAACAAGGTGTTGGCCCAGCTAGCCAATAGCTTGTACTAAGTATTTATTCCTCCGCTTAATTTTGTCAGGGCTGGGGCTTTCGCCTTCTTTCTACAACAATTAATCCTACTCTGATCAAGTTTGGTTTTGGTCATAAATAACACTTTTCAGTTGATGGTATCCAAGAGAAAGGACAACCTATGAATTTCAACTCATGCCCCTCGAAAGTTTTATACTAACAATTTCTGTTCAGGGGTTTTAAAGGATAAGCATATGCCAATGGAACTTTGAATTTCTATGATTTCATTTCTATCTAAGGTTTAAACAAATTCCTGTCCTCCCAACTCAATAAATAAATGGAAGGTAAATAATACATCAGTTGGGCTTTCTCCNCTACTTCAAGGTAACGTGGCCTCCTGTCCTCCTTCACAACAAGGTGTTGGCCCAGCTAGCCAATAGCTTGTACTAAGTATTCATTCCTCCGCTTAATTTTGTCAGGGCTAGGGTTTTCGCCTTCTTTCTACAACAATTAATCCTACTCCGATCAAGTTTGGTTTTGGTCATAAAAAACACTTTTCAGTTGATGGTATCCAAGAGAAAGGACAACCTATGAATTTCAACTCATGCCCCTCGAAAGTTTTATACTAACAATTTCTGTTCAGGGGTTTTAAAGGATAAACATATGCCAATGGAACTTTGAATTTCTATGATTTCATTTCTATTTAAAGTTTAAACAAATTCCTGTCCTCCCAACTCAATAAATAAATGGAAGGTAAATAATACATCAGTTGGGCTTTCTCCAACATTGCATGAGCCGAAATATGGATCTCTCATTCAACCGAAGAAATTAGGTACAATGAAGTGCAAGAAACTCACAATTTAATCTCAGAAAAATAAGTTGATGAAACAGCCAAGCCTTCTACATCATAGGTTCGAACCAGTCTTTGTCTCTTACCAGGGGTTTCAACCCAACCAAACTCCAAATGGAATGACTTCCACTCTTCAACACTCTTTGCAATATTGCAAGGGCATCCCAAGTACATGCCTCCAGGCAAAAACGTATATTGGTATCCTCCATCAAATGTAACCAGGTTGTCCGACATGGTTCCCATCCAGTGCACATTAGTCGTAATTGTTTTTCCAGCAGATGTTGAAGAAATATCCTGATATTTTTGGTGCAGAGAGAGAATAAAAAGAAGGGGCTCAGCTTTTGGCCTCGTCAAACATTTGTGCATTAAAACAAGTATAACTTTTTGGAAATATAGGTGTACATCAGACAGTGAACGCAAAAGATATTTATTGCAAATTTAATACCTTCAGTCCCATTCCAGTTTATAGAATCTTCAAAACCCTCCAATTTCAATAAATTCAAGAAAAACTGGTTTAAACATATTAAGTAGTATACCTGGATTAACTGACCCTTGTCATCCATTTTAAGTAAAGCAACTGTATCAGCTTCAGCAATTGTTGCTCCATAAACTCCACTGCGCTTTGTTACAGAATGGCCTTTCCAGTTACCAAGAAATGGCACAATCTTGTCTATGCTCTCCTGTAACCAACAAAAGGAATCCGGTATAGCATTGTACACATACAAACATGTCTATTTTACTCTCAGTACAAACAATGGAAATTAAGCAAAGTATCAATAATTGGTTAACTTGGTCGAAAAAACGTACCACATCACTGTCAAGTGAAGGTGGAAAAAGGTCCCCGCTATCTCTGTCCTCAAGGAAGATAAGAAACATATCCAAATTGCCTCTTGGATCCATGATATGAAATGCTCTTGCTCGCCTGTCTTTCTCTTGTGAATATAGGCAATTTTCACATACAATAGCAGGCCGACGAGAGGGAAGCTTAAGATTTCTGCACAATTAAGAAAAATAAAGTTAAGAACAGTACATACCGGGATTGTGGAAGCACTTCTTAGTAACTTAAAGAATTCTTAGAATTAGAGATATTAAGCTAGGCCATGACCATCCACTACAGTACAAGATAGGTTTGTTTCAAATACACATAATACAGGCTAACATAAAACAAGAGCCAAGCTAGCAATTCATTCTTCTTATGAATCATGTCAAAATTGAGTTGCAGATTTTTGGCCATACACAAATTGAGATTCCAAAGGGATTTTGCAGTTTTTCCATATTTGAGGGGCACAAAGTCTGGTTCAATTGCAACTGAAAATATAATGGTTTTGGTTTCAAATGAGCTGTACCACACAACATAACAATTTCCATATCCATGATGATGTTAACATCTGGCAAAGAAACACTCAACATTATCATAATTGGGTTCTTTATGAGAAAATTCTCATCACCGTCTCTCAATTATGTTTCCAGTTAGTCTCACTCAGATATACTAATGGTAGCTTTCAAATTGATGGAAATACAATGCCTTTTGAGCAAAGAGGGACTTACTTGGGTGATTCTTCTCCAGTGTCATCTTCCCCCAACACGCCTTGCCTTAAGACAGTTTCTAGCATGCCAGCAGTCTGATATCTCAATGAAAAAGCCCTCTCATTGGGAAAAAAGCCAATCTGCAGACTAGTAGTAATGCACATTCAAGAGAAAACAACAAATTCATAAAAGCTAATATATAAGCTAACTTCAGACAAGGAAACAATGGAAGATAAACTCCGAATTCTCAAAGTGCCAAAAGAACTCACCTGTTGATATTTGTCCACAGTGAACATATTGGTTTCTTTGACTTTGTATTCAGCCCATTCTGGTTCCTCTTCGTATCCTGAAATCGTTATGCTTGATGAAGGTTGTTTTATGTACAGCCTACAAAGTACAATCAAATTAAGCCAAAAAAGCATAAAAGCAAAAAAATTCACTACTAAAGAGATCTCCACATAGTTAATACGGGAAATCTTCAACTTTTTGCTTTTTTTTAACAACACTGCAAAATTTAGATTCCCATCACATAATAACTTTTTTTGTAAACAAAAACCTTAACGAACGGCAAGGTTATGATTTTTTCTTTCAATCTATTTAACTCAGAAGACAAAATTCAATTCAAAATTTATGTTGAACCATCAATATATTCACCCACATGCACAAGAATTGCACATTTCAAGAAACAAAGTCCATTTTACTTATCCAAATGTTATAATCTCTCCATTGTAATCAAACCAATCAATGTCAAACTCATTTTCATTTACTAAAAGACCCAAATAAAAATCTTGAATAAAAATAAAAAAAATTACGTTTGAATGAGACTGATGAGTTCATCTTCTCCATAAGTATTGACAGAAAGCTTGTACGAATTTTTTGCATCAAATTTCCAGTACCATCAAATTGCTGCAAAATTAAATAAAAACAACAATCATTTAATTAAGCCAGAGTCAAAGTTAAACTAGAACTAATTAATAAACCAATTTACTAAAGACTCACGTGGAAAGAACCGGACAGTTGCCAACGTTGAGGTCGAAGAAACGTTTAAGGTTGTCGATGCTCATGGAAGCTCCCCCGTTCGGGTTGTTGAGTTGTCCCGGGTGGCCTGGGGGTCCGAAATGTGGAAATGGGTCGGGGAAACGGGTTGCTTTGGTGGGCTGGTTACGAGGGAATGAAAGTGAGGAAGAAATGGAAATGGACGCCATTGAGGAGGTTTGAGCTCCGTGAGTGTGGAGTTTTACTTGGTTTTTAAATAGCTTATCTCAAATATGGATGATATTTGATGAAAAAAATTCAAGTCCCGCAGTTTCTAAACTTATCATACTTACCCCTGCAGGCACCTAAAATCCTCTCTTTTTTACCCATATGGTTCTGATACATCAAGTACACCCCTTAGGTTGATAAAATCATACATGGATGAACTTAAATTGATAGAGAAGGGTATTACGTTAACGATTAGGTTCGAGCAAATCACAGGTTTGACCCTCAGCTTCTATCAAAGGATAATAGTAATTCAACATAATAATTGAAATTTCAAATCATATATAGTTTATCTGTCTAAAAAAGCCGAAGATAATTTTACATTGTCGTTATCGAAAGTTTCTTCCACAACAACATTGCCAATGACTCTATTACATAAAGGAACCCCATGTCAAGGCCATGACAAGTATGGCGCAAGTAATAGAGTGATTCGGTGGTTAGCTTCTTTGTCGGTGAGCGATTTTTGGCCGAAGCAGGTGCGATGATCACGCAGGATTTTGGACATTATGAAGTTTCATCCACCCCAACAAAAACCTCTACCACTGAGGAAGTAGTAAGGTCTTGGCTCTAGGAGTTGATACACATCTCTCCCACCTTTTGTAATGTTCTTGATGAAGTCTTGCTCATTGCAACTCTCATAGCTTGTCTTGTTCACCTCAAGAACATTGTACATGTTCTTGTCAAAGTTGAAAACTTTATTTAACAATGGCATTCAAAAGAAAAAAAAAAGAACAAGTTAGTGTCACAATTTATAGAAAACTAATTCAAAAAAGATATACATGGAATAAAACTCATTTGTGAAACCCTTTCTAAATAGGTATAATTCTAATTTTTTTTTTTTTTTTAAATAACTGAGGTATCTGAACACAATTCTAGTCAAACCCGCCTAATCCTAAAGGCCCGGATATAATTATCATACAACACTCATAAAACTTAATTACTAGGTTGATCGTCAGAATTCTCTGCTAAAACTACGAGTAAAGGAAAAACCATTTTTATAATGAATCAATACATCAACATTAAAATTAATAACAAGAAACATCTATCGCTGAAAAACATATCTAAATCGTTTATATTTCATTCATATAGTACTCAAAAAATTTCTTCAGATACCCATATCACATAGATCAAGAAACAAACAAGCAAATTAAGAAGCAAGAATTAGAATGAGATTAGAGGATTACGAGCCAATCTCCAACGAAGAATGTTGATGGCTTGACCATTCAGTGAAATGACATTCGGAGACCAACCCATCTTGTCTCCTACGCGATGAGAGTATTACTACTCCCCACAACACATTTCGCATAACACCATTACCAAAACCATAAGTTCTGAGAATTGGAGTCTCAACTTTATATTTTTGCAAAAACCCCCCTCCATGGATTCACTCTCACTCCACTCTCTTGAAGTTTGATACAATTTATATGATTATTGAAGGATTTAGGTTGAATTTGCGTGAAATTAATTGTAGTTGATTGAATTAGTATATAATTTGTTACATATTCGGTTATTAAAGTTTTCATGAGTTGGCATATTTGACGCGCGTCATGATTTTGATAAACGCCTTGGTTTTGCACCTTTTTAACCTTGTTTTATATTTAATTAAATTATTTTTTATTTATTTTAAATCTATTTTTCGATTTCTTAAATCTGATTTATGAAGGTATAAAATTAATTTTAGTTTTTAAACACTTTTCCCACCACAAAACTTTTAAAATATATTTTATATCCAAATTATATTATGTTTTTTATTCCATATCGTTGTGATCTCACACCATCACATTCTCTTTCGCAGTCATTACTCACCAAAACCCTCTCAAACTTACTCCTGCCAATCCTGATAATCAAAGATTAGAGTTTGCATGACCGCCCTCCGAAGTCAAATTCTAATCAATCTCACACCACCAAAATCCATATCTCCACCATCAAAGACTCATCAATCTCCCCTCTTCAAAAGCTCGAACAGTCTGGACGGAGTTTGCTCTCTGTTAGCCGCAAAAATATAAAATTAGATAATAAAGTGATATTTAAAAGTTTGTAGATAAAAAAGTGATTAAGCATTATTTGGGTGAGAAAAAAATCGTTAACTCATTTTTATAACACAAAGCATCATTCAATTGTCTCTCATTTCATAATTTTTAGTTAATTAAGAATTCATTGAGTCTCTCAGCTTTATTTTTTCGCAGAAACCCCCCTTTTGCATCTCAATGTCTCGAATTTTCTGAATTATTGAGGGTTTAGATTGAATTTGTATGAAATTAATGGTAAGTGGTTAACTATATAATTTGTTACATATTTGGTAACTAAAGTTGTTCATGAGTTGGCATATTTGACACGTGTCACGGTTTTGTAATAAACTCCTTAGGTTTTGTACCCTTTTTAATTAACTTGCTTTATGTTATTAAATCATATTTTTTTTATATCATTTCTTTGAAAATCTACTTTTTATTATTATATTAAATCCCCAATTTATAAAAGGGACGAAAATAAATTTTAGTTTTTTCAAATCATCCTACATTAAAAGAATATTAGAGTAATTAATGTTATATACATATTTTCATTGTATAAAAATTGTTATGAATAATTCTTTTGAATATTACTATATATACAAACTCATCCATATAAAGTGACGGAGTAATAATATAATTAGATGATTTAATTGAAGATAAATTACATAAAAAATTAAATAATTTATAAAAACATTCCTTTCTCGTGATTTATTATAAATGTGCCAATAATATGAAATAAATGATTTTCCTTGTGTAGCTGTTTTATGCCTTTGATTTTAAATCATATAATATATATGTATTTAATATTTTTTAAATCCATACTCTTTTTTTTTATTATTATTGTAAATCTAATTTATTAAAGAAGAATAATGCCTTATAAATTCAATAACAGACTATATTATAATTGAGAATATAAAACAATTCATAAAAAATTAAAAATTAAAGTTATGGTATATGGAATGTTACATATTGGGCATTTTTCATGATTCAACCAAAATATATGGCCTTAAGTTTTATGTTTAATTAAATCATACTTTTATATAATAAAAAAGAAAAAAAATCAATAATATATTTTGGTTACAGTATTACATTTATATATATTAATCAACTCTCAAAATCCATTTCCTCCTTAATCTGAAAGCTTAAAATTTCAGCCACCACCACTCTCTCCAACCTCAGTGGCATCGCAGCTGCACCACCAAGTTCGCCGCCATCCAATTCCTCAACCAAAACCAGGCCTCGACAAGACAAAAAAAGGCGGCATGTATAGTTATCGATCTTAATTAACTCCAATATCTTTACATATATATAAATGAATCGTTGATAATAAATAATTGGTATGTCATATCTATAAAAATTAACACAAAATACATAATATATAATAAGTTAGCACTCTTCAATAAATGAATACTTTATTATATAGGTGACTCATATAATTTACATGGTTAGTTAGTCATACGAATTGTTTATTTTTCTTTATTCATCTTAATTATTCCACCATATGCAAGAAATGATTTTTCAAACTTAATTCCCATTTAAAAAAAAAAAAAAAAAAAAACTTTAAATCCTAATAAAATTAAATTTATCCATTTAAAAGATCGATAATAACTCTCAAGCACCTTAACAATTTTTAAAAACTATTAAATACTGTTATTTTTTTTTATACTTTTACAAAGAATTTTTTATTGTTGCAAGGGGGTTTTGATAACCTCGACAAAACATTGAACAATATTCGACAATTACTAAAACATTCGAGACTTATCAATCCCTCGAGCATGAGCTCAAAACCGTAATTCTTTAAGGCAAGTTAAGCAAATTCAGAATCATATGCATTGTTTTAAAACCCGGATTGGAGGACAACCTGTTTTGCTGGTTAAGTCACAAGAAGTCCAAAGATTGTACCAATGACATTAGCAACAATTTTTTTTTAAAAAATTATATACTAATCCCTCAAATTTTAATATATTACAAAAATTTCCCTAAAAAAGTTTAATTAGTCCCTAAAATTTTTATTTATTTCAAAAATATCCCAAAAAATTACCAATTAATCCCTAAACTTTTGACATATCTCCAAAACACCCCTATAAAATTTAATTAACCCTTATAATTTTAACATATTACAAAAACCCCCTAAGACCTGAACCGGACCGGAGAAGCTGTCGGGTCCTGGTCGAACCGGCCCGGTTTTTAAAACAGAGCTCATATGTAGTAAACTGAGATTGAATAAAAGAAAGAGACAAAATTTTCCACGAGAATCTCTGCAATTTTACCTAAAACAAAAGAATGTCAATCTGTAGAGTATAAAATAAGCAATGATAGGGACACACTCCCTCAATCAATGGCTATATTTATAATTTAAAGCATTAGAACATGGTGCATGTGGCCTCAAAACAACTCAAAAAAAAAACCATTTGCATAATTTATGCAGTGAAATCCTCCAATAAATAAATTCAAATCTTCAACTGTCGTTTGTCAACATTCACAGCAACAACCACCACAACATTTGCAATTCAAACATATCTAGTCATCTATAATGAAAAAATACATCACATAAAGGTTACCCCAACAAGAAAAATTTGTAAAATATGCTGAGGAAGATAACTCAATTCCTTCACAAATTGGTTAAGGAATGTCTAAGGAGAACCCGGTAATCTGATAAATATTTGCTAGCTTGGTATGTTTACCGAAAATGGATGAGGGCGTCCCACAAAGCACTGATGGCGAAAAGAGCTGGTAAAACAAGCTTGTTTTGGTAGATTGATGGAGAGCCACTTTTGACTGGGGAAGCTGCGGGAGGTGGAGGTGGGTTTTCAACATGGACAGCTAATTTCATACCGCCATAGCAGAAGCCCTTGCCACTGATGAAGTAGTAATTACGTGTCACATTAAGTGGAACCACGTCTCTCCCAGCTCCGGTAGTCCAGTTGTGAAGTGGA